CCCAGAAGGTGACTGTGGGTAAGAGTACTCTGAACAACTTAAAAAGTAGGCTGAACAAATATCTCTGAGGATATCTTTGAGGATTCAGGTGGACTTGCTCAGGTCACCGTCAATCCATTGACTCGCCTTTGCATGGCGGTTATGGGAATGATGGTTGTTTGGATGATTTGTGTTATTCAGTTATTGTTATCTGCAGTCTTGTACCGTCTGAGACCCATCCACTGGGAGGGGAGACAGAGCCTGTCCAATTCGGGCACCCAATCGACCATCTTGGTGTGATCAACTGCTTTTAAGGGCAGAGGAGAGATCTGGGGTCTTATTGACCCCAGATCTCTTCATAATGAGTACTTGTCACCAGGGGAGGACTGACAACTCATGGGGTCCCCAGGCAATAGGGAATCATGGGGCCCCTATGACTTGCCCACACTCAAAGCACACCCAAAAAAGCCTATAAAAAGGTACCAGGGGCATTTCATGGGGCCCCATACTGACCCTGGTCCCTCGGGCAGTGCCGAGTGCGCTAATGGTCAGTCCGCCCCTGCTTGTCACTGCCCATTGGTATCACCATGAACATCAAATCATGGGCAGTAATTCTAGCATCACACCTCCTGTATAAATCTACAGTGGTAACCTGTAAAGGCTTCAAAGTGTCGCCTATGGATAGTAAAATTGACACAGTTTGTTCCCGTTGTACGGGAGTGTCCAAGTTTAAAGCATGACATGTTTGGTATCTATTTACTTGGCGTAACATCATCTTTTATATGCTACTAAAAAATTGGGTTATATGTTGTGTTTTTTGCATTAAAATTAAAAAAAGTGTATATTTTCTCCACAAAAATTGTTTGAAAAACTGTCAAATACCGTGCAACATAAACAATTGAAAAAGCCACCAATTTATTTTCTTGGGTCTATGCTTTAAAAAAAAATGTTTGGGAGTTCTAAAGAATTTTCTAGCAAAAAAAAAAAAACATTACAAGTTTAAGTCGTCATAAAGCCCCTTTCATTTTTAAAAGACCCAGACATTCCTAAAATCACCTCTGATTAATAAAAAAAACATGAACCCTTCATATTTTCCATTTTTTATCAAGACAAGTAGATTGTCATGAGGGACAAGTAGATTGGGACTCGTATTAGTCCTTGGACAAGTAGTTTTCAAAAATGTCCATACCCGTGTAAATGAATCAGTTCATATTATTTGTCATGCGCAGTAAAAACAGTTCGATTTTTTAACGGGCAAAAAAACATTAACCTTTCAATTTATAATTTGTTGAGCAGCACTTTTCCAACCTGTTCCTTTGATTTGTATTTATTTAATTTTTTTGGCTCTGAAAGATCAAAAATGATTTTCTATTTGTTCCCATTACATAGACAAAAAATTAAATGAATGGTCCAAATGATGGATTTCTGATTTTTTAGTGCTTAGACTACAAAAAGATGCAGTGTAACATATTGTTACATTTGTATCATTCTGTTCATTCACCTGCAGATGATGTAAATTAAAGCAACCTGACAAGTAAAACTTTTTTTTTTTTTTTTACACCATTTGCCTACCAGGCACTTTTACCCCCTTCCTGCCCAGGCCAATTTTCAACTTTCAGTGGCGATGCACTTTAAATTACAGTTGCGTTGTTATGCAATTCTGTACCCATATGAAATCTGTATCATTTTTTCACACAAATAGAGATTTCTTTTGGTGATATTTAATCACCACTGGGTTAATTATTTCTTGCACTACAAACAAAAATTTTTTTTTATAAAAAATGCGCTTTTCTTCATTTCTGATATAACATTTTGCTGATCACAACTGTCACCAGTCAGTGTCTCTGATCACTGGCACACCAGTTATATGATGACACTGTACTGCATTGGTGACAGTATGTAAAAAAAAATAAAAATTGTGAAAATGTTTTTTTAATTTCTTCATATTCCACAAAATTATGAAAAAAAATGACAACTTTAAAAACTCAACATGCCTCTTAATAAAAACATCAGACTACTTTCTGAAAAGCTGTCATTTTGGGGGTATTTGTACTGTCCTAGCATTTTTGGGCCTCAAGAAATGAGATCAGCCATCAGTACTGTACATCAGGATTTATCAATTTTTATATATATACCATAGTTTGTGAACTCTTTAACTTTCCTACCAACTAAATAATAGACATTGATTTGGGTTATTTTCACCAAAGACATGTAGCAGAATACATTTTGGCCTAAATTTGCGTAGAAAGATTTTTTTAAAATATATTCTTTAGCATTTTTTTTAACATATAAAAAAGTAATTTTAACATATATTTTTACATATATTTGTAAATGCATTCCAAAAATGTAGATTTGTATTTTTAAAGACATACAGTATATTTGAAATGTATTTTAAAAAATATTTGTCATATATTTTGTAATAAAACGAGAGAGAGAGAGAGAGAGAGAGAGAGAGAGAGAGAGAGAGAGAGAGAGAGAGAGAGAGAGAGAGAGAGAGACGAGAGAGAGAGAGATATTTTGAAATATATTTTGAAATATATTGAATATGGCCAAAATTGTAGCATTTCAAATATATGGCAATATATTTGGGAGACTATGTTTAAAATATATTTAAGTGCTCTTGCATGGCAAGACCACTTACTGTTATCTCACATATATATTCTTATTATTATAGCCAAAAATTTACCACCCTAACTCCTCCCACAGTTTTTACACTACATAGACAGTAATATACCGAAACGTGCAGATTGTTCCCGATTGGTGTGCTATTACTTTGTGGAACTGAATGGTTCACGAAATATCGGCGTTTTTGTGGTGCAATTGGTCCCATAGGAATGAATGGCAGAATGTTCAAAACTAGAGTGGGAGCTGAAAAAAGCTAGAGTGTGAGCTGAAAAATCAGGACATGATTTCTAAACTGCCACCACTCCATCATTTTCAAGCCCACCTATACAAATCTTATATCAAAACGTTCAGCTATCCCTGCTGCCACTAAAAATGTCCACAGCTAAGCCATAGTCCTGATAGTTTTCACAATATGACCATTTGTTTGCAACTCAACCCGCCCATTGACATTGTAGACTACTGGTGGAGGCAAGAACACTTCACACAATTTCCCCAGAAATTGTAGCTTTTCTAGTTCAAGTATATTTTTCTTCCATATGGGACTATGGGAGGTTAGGGGGATCAGCAGCTGGCTGGAGGACTGGGAGTGGGAAGTGCTGGTTCACATATATGTGGATTGGATGCGGTTTGAACCACATCCAATCCGCATGACATGTGAAATAAAGAAATATTATACTGACAGCAAATAAATGACTATGTGAAACAAATCAGTAAAATAAAATTCCAATGCATCAAATGCACAAATACTTCAAAATAAGTCCACCGAAAGAAAATTACAAACTGTGATAAAGTGCAAAAGTCCTTCTAATCCGCTGAAATCACTATGTAAGCGCATCACAATAATTGATTGAATAAAGTGCAAGAATAACTTCACTCAAGTATCACCCCCCATGCAGTGGCACTCACCAGATATCGTAGCCCATCTATCGTGAGTGTCAGACGTTATAAATATCATCAATCGGCTAGCCCTTCATCAATTAGAGACTGATTAAGTGGAGGGACATCCTCCAAACGGCTAGGTGATAATACGCAATATAGTTGCTCAGATTTGCATTTTGTCTCAAACAGGAAAGCACACCAAATATTGGTAAGACCACTGATGGAGTGTCTGCACTTTCCTCCGTGGAATACAACGTGATGTCCACACCCAGCAAAGTTCCTCTTCTGCCCTCTCTTGCTAGGTGTGGACATCAGGTCGTATTCTAAGTTATTCTTGCACTTTATTCAATCAATTATTGTCATTCGCTCACATGGTGAATTCAGCCGATTAGAAGGACTTTTGTACTTTATCACAATTTTTAATTTTCTTTTGGTGGACTTATTTTGAAGTATTTGTGCATTTGATTAATTGGAATTTATGTTGTTGATTTGGAATTGGAATTATTTTGTTGATTTGTTTAACATATACATATATATTTGCTTTCACTATAATATTTCTTTGTTTATCGATTTTTTGTCACTGTGTTATATATAATATTTTTTCTTTTGCGCTGCTTTCACTTGTCATTATAAATATTCATGGGGAAATTAGGTTATACTCACTATTTAAGGCAGCAGCATTTATTATTATAATACAGGATTTATATAGCGCCAACAGTTTGCTCAGCGCTTTACAATATAAAGGAAGACAATACAGCAACGATACAGTTCAATACAAGAGGGTTAGGAGGGCCCTGCTCCTTGGAGCTTACAATCTAAGAGGGAGGGGCTAATGGTTCAAAAGGTAATAACTGTGGGGGATGGACTGGTAGGAGGAATAGAAGATTCTGTTATTAGCTGAAGGCAGGCTAGGCTTCCCTGAAGAGATAGGTTTATATATATTTATATACATCTTATTCATTTATTTATGTGAGGTGTTCACTATTCTCTTATTTAGTTGTTAGGTTATTGATATTCATATATTTTTCTTTTGTGCTGTGAATATACGCTTGATATATTTATCTTTTTAAATGACATGTGAAATAACATTGCTTCCTATGGTGCCTGTTCACATATGTCTGGTGCATTGGTAGTACGGATTCAATGCAGACTGAAAAAGAGTCATGTCCGATTTATAAGCAGTGCAATCCAGTTAAGGTGCGGATTACAGGCTACTGGCTTCTATGGGAACCATTTCTAAGCCGCATATCCTGACCTGAACCTGTCCTAAACCTGACCTGAACCACTGAACAACTACTGTGTCAATTAACTGTGAAACTTGAGCTTCAATCGCATAAGTGTGAATCAGCATGGAGGCCACGGCCCAGTTGTTGAGAACTGCTGGTGTAAGGTATGAGGAGGAATCTGCAAAATAGCATTTTCCTTATGCAAACTTTTTGAATATCTCCAAATTTAAAAGCCTCATATATTAGTGCTGCCTTTTGTACCGTTACTTGAGGCAGCCACAAAAATCTTACCTCTTTTTGCAAGTTCCATAGCAGTTTCTTTACCAATGCCAGTGTTAGCTCCAGTAACTATTACTGTCTTTCCAACTATATTTGCTTTGCTTGGACATTGTCCACCACCAACATAATCCCTAGACAAATAGAAAAAAAATAAACTTTTTTAATGGAATACCATTATGTACTGATGTTAATCTGTTATTCATGAATTAATAGGCAGCACACATCTGCTTCAAAGCTCTGAAGACGACAGAATTATGTGATCCCCAAAAAATGCATCAGATATTGGGGGAGATACTAAAACTGAAGATGCAAAATCTGGTGCAGCTCTGCATAGAAATCAGCTTCCTGGTTTTAATGCTCCATGCACACTGGATATTTTAATAATGCTGGTAACGCTAGCTGTGTAAAGTCATGTTAAAAAAACTTGAGTCTTTCAGCAGTTTTTAGCGTTTTTGCATTAGCGTTTAGCTGCTTTTTTATACCAAAATATAATTTTTTTTTGCTTATAAAAATGTCCAAAAATGCCGGTTTCCCACGTTTTTCAGCGTTAGAGCATTTTTACAGCTAAAAGCCTCCTCTAGATACCCATTAGTCCTGGGTTTTTTTCTAGCCAAAAAACATTGATTACAGTCTGTGTGCATGGACACGTAGGATAACATGCTGGGGAGTTTACTGGCTGTAGAAAAAAACATCAAAAACAGCAGCTGTGAAAACATCCAGTGTGCATGAGGACTTACCCCCCGGTCACATCAAGCCCTACTTTGAAATCATGCGACTAACAGGGACGTCGCATGATTTCAAAGTCGGGTGAGATGCCGATTTCAGGTGCGATTTTGCAAGACATCTGACACAGATGTCTATGCAAATCGCATCAAAAGTAGTGCATGTACTACTTTAGAAATCAATGTGGCTCCAACCAAGTCGGAACCGCACTGATTTGACCGCTGTAATTACGGACAATAGGGTGCGACTTGGCATAAGATTTGCAAGTCGCATGGCATGAAAATCACATGCCAAGTCGCAGCCGATGTGACCGGGGTGTTTATTATCAAAGCTTAACTAAATTGGCTGAAGTTAGAAGCTGACTGGCTTCCATGCATAGCTGCACCAAATTCTGAGCACTCCAATTTTAGTAAATCTCCACTATTGACCTTTTTTTAGATGCAGTTCCACTCCCAACTCAATGTGCCAAGCTCCATAAACATGCACTTCAAGAGCCTGCTAAAATCCTCAGATTCTTTTCAGATTGCCCCAGGATCTCCAGTACCCGAGTTGTTCTACTAAGAGAATAGCAATTGGAGTTTGGATTTTTGCACTCAGTCCAATCTCCTCTTGTGCACTATACCTTATAGGCAAAAAAATTGAACAGGCAATATCACTGAAAAAAAGAGAAGGGGATGTGTAAGGGTACTTTCACACGGGCGTTCCGTTTTTTTGTTCAGTTCAGTCACGTTTCAAAGAAAAAACGGATGAGTTTACATCCGTTTTTTCATCCGTTTACATCCGTCTTTCATCCATTTTTTCATTGGCTTACATCCGTTTTTCATCCATTTACATTGGTTTACATCCATTGACATCCGTCTTTCATCCGGTTTTACATCCGTTTTCATTGGTTTACATCCGTCATTCATCCGTTTACATCTGTTTTTACATCCGTTTACATCCGCTTTTCATCCGTTTACATCCATTTTTTTTATCTGCTTACATCCATTTACATCTGCTTTTGGTCCGTTTACATCCGTTGACATCCGATTTGTTTTTTTTTTGGCGGAAGAAAAATAGTGGTTTCTTCTATTTAAAAAAAATGGATGTTAACGGATGCGGACATTAACGGATGTAAAAAGATGCTCATCCGTTTACATTCGCTAGTCCATAGAAATACATGGGGGTCCGTTTTTCATCCGTAAACGGACAAATGAAAAAAGACATATGGAACGCCTGAGTGAAAGGGGCCTTAGAATGTAGCATGCCAGCTCTAGTTGCTATCTGTAAAGGGATTTAACCACCTCCCACCCGCCATATAGTAATATGACGGGTGCAAGGTGGTTCTCTCGTTCTGGGAGGATGTCATATGACATCCTCCCATTCTCACTGCGCATGCGCGGCTCAGGGAGCGCGCAGCGCGGTGATCGGCGGTGCGCTGTGTCCCTCGGACACAACGGATCACCGATCACGGAAAGAGCCGAAGATGTCGGCTCGGTCATGTGATCAGCTGTGTCCAATCACAGCTGATCACATGTAAACAGGGAAATGCCGGTTATCAGCATTTCTCTCCTCTCGAGCTGTCACATTGACAGCTCGAGAGGAGAGCCGGTAATCAGCTTTCCACAGAGGGGACATGTACACTGATCATCAGGGCACTGATGATCAGTGTGCCCTGATGATCAGTGTAGCCCCAGCAGTGCCACCTATCAGTGTGCATCAGTGCCTTATGTCAGTGCCTATCAGTGCCACATATCAGTGCCTACCAGTGCACATCGATGCCACATCAGTGCCCATCTGAGCTGCCTTTCAGTGTCACCCATCAGTGCCAGTCAGTGCCACCTATCAATGCCAATCAGTGCTGCCTATCAGTGCCAGTCAGTGCCGCCTAACAGTGCCATATATCAGTGCTATGTATCAGTGCTGCCTTTCAGTGCCCACCAGTGATGCCTGTCAATGCCTCCTCATCAGTGCCACCTATCAGTGTCCATCAGTGCAGCCTATCAGTGCCCATCAGTGCAGCCTCATTAGCGCACATCAGTGAAGGATAAAAATCACTTATTTACAAAATTTTATAACAAAAACTAAGAAAAAACTTTTTTTTTCAAAATTTTCTGTGGTTTTTGGTTTGTTTAAGAAAAAATAAAAAACCAGAGGTGATTAAATACCACCAAAAGAAGGCTCTGTCACAAAAAAAATGCTAAAAATTTCATATGGGTACAGTGTTTGACCGTGCAATTGTCACTCAAAATGCGACAGCGCTGAAAGCTGGAAATTGGCCTGGGCAGGAAGGGGGTATAAGTGCCCTGTAGGCTAGCGGTTAAACAAGAGCAATGTTTTTTTATGACATGCAAATGTAAAACAATTTGAAAGGATTTCTAACAATGCTGAATTTGGAATTGAAGCTGATAGAGAAATACTCACATTTACTTTTGCAATTGCTTTTAATATGTGTAAATACCTCATGAGGCATCTGAACTGTTTTTTCCCCCTGGTCAGTGTAAGGCCACATGCACACTGGACATATTTACAGCTGCATCTAGGGGTGTCTGGTGGTTTCTTTCCCCTGTATCTTAGCCTATGTGTCCATGCACACACAAACGTTTAGAGGCGTTTAGAGGCAAGAAAAAAAAACACTGCCAGTGCGTCTAGGAGCAGCAGAGTTTTGAAGAAAAAAAAAACATTTGACGTTTCTGAACACATCTAAACATGTGTTAACAACTTGCCCACCAGAAGATTTACCCCCCCCCCCCCTCCCCCTTCCTGACCAGGCCAATTTTTGCAATACGGCGCTGTGTTACTTTAGCTGACAATTGCGCAGTCAGGCAACACTGCACCCAAATGAAATTTATGTCCTTTTTTCCCACAAATAGAGCTTTCATTTGGTGGTATTTAATCACCTCTGCGTTTTTTTTGCCATTTGCGCTATAAACCAAAAAACACATCAAATTGCAGTTACCTTAGGGCAGTGTTTCTCAACTCCAGTCCTCATGGACCCCCAACAGGTCATGTTTTCAGGATTTCCCTCAGATGAAACAGCTGTGGTAATTACTAAGGCAGTGAAACTGATCAAATCACCTGTGCAAAATAATGGAAATCCTGAAAACATGACCTGTTGGGGGTCCATGAGGACTGGAATTGAGAAACACTGCCTTAGGGTCACACGGCCCGCAGTTGTTTGGGCAGCTCAATCATTTGAATGTGTTTCTGTGCCCGCGTATCCTGCTGAAAAAAAAGGTACATGCTCCTTTTTTTTAAAAAACGCAGCCACATGGAAACTGCATGGTGTTTTTGACCATGCAATTTCCCTGCGGTACCCTTAAACGCACTGCGGGCTGAGATGCATAGGTGCCATTCGGAATAAATGGCAGCTTTGTGTGTCCTGTAAGAGCAGTGCGATGTGGCTGCAGGTACAGGTGCGATTCCTGGACCTGCAACCAGCCTGTAGACTGCTAGTGTGAACTGAGAGCTAATTCAGGCTCCATTAACACTGAACTGAGCGTTTTTCAAGCGGTTTCTTTTTCAGGCGTCTTTGAACTTTTTTTTAAGCAGATTGGCAAATGTTACAGGCGTTTTTTTTTTGTGGCCAATAGAAATAGAAACAGCTGCTATTTGAACTTAAAATGCCTAGAAAAAAACGCTCATTCCACTGTTCAGACTTTTTCCATTTAAGTCTATTGGGACAAAACGCTCAGATATGCTTGAAAGGTAGTGCAAGTATTTTTTTGAGCGACAGGCATTTTGCAACAGGCAACAGAACGCTCAAGTGTAAAGAGGAGCCATTGGAAATAATGAGATTTTACTTGATGAGCATTTTTGAGCTTCGAGCTGAAAAAAACGCTCAAGTGTGAATGGGGTCTCACACATGTGCGGTGCGGATTGCAGCTCAGGTTTCACAGCTAATTGATACAGTAGTTGTTCATAGGTTTACATCAGGTTCAGGACAGGATTAGCTCAGGATCTTATCTTGTTCACACATATGTGGTTTAGAAACGGTTCCCATAGAATTCAATAGCCTGTAATCTGCACCTGAACTGGACCGCACTGCTCAGACATAACTCTTTTTAAAACCGCACCGCCAGTGCACTAGACATATGTGAACAGGCGCCATAGGAAGTAATGTTTTTTTTACATGTCATGCATATTGGATGCGGTTCAAACCACATGTACTGTAACGGGCACCTAAAACAGCACTGAATCCGCACTGCCAATGCACCGGACATATTGAACATGCACCATAGGAAGTAACGTTTTTTTACATGTCATGCAGATTGGATGTGGTTCAAATCGCATATATGTGAATGGGCTTCTAAAACCACACTGAATCCGCACCGCCAGTGCACCGGACATATGCGAACAGGCACCATAGGAAGCAATGTTTTTTCCCATGTCATGCAGATTGGATACAGTTCAAACCGCATATATGTGAACGGGCACCTAAAACCGCACCGCAGCGCCAGTGAATGCAGATCCGCAGCGCCAGCACTGAATCCGCAGCGCCAGTGCACCAGACATATTGAACAGGCGCCATAGGAAGCAATGTTTTTTTACATGTCATGCAGATTGGATGCGGTTCTAACTGCATGTATGTGAACGGGCACCTAAAACTGCACTGAATCCGCACTGCCATTGCACTGGACATATTGAACAGGCGCCATAGGAAGCAATGTTTTTTCACGTCATGCAGACTGGATGTGGTTCAAACCGCATATGTGAACGGGCACCTAAAACCGTACTGAATCCACACCGGCAGAGCACCGGACATATTAAACAGGCACCATAGGAAGCAATGTCTTTTCATATCTCATGCGGATTGGATGGAAGTTCAAACCACATCCAATCCACATACATATGAATGGGCACTGACCGTATTTTTTGCTCCATAAGACGCACTCCCCCCCAAAACAAAATGGGGTAAAACGTCCGAGTGTCTTATGGAGCAAATATGAGGCTGCCGACTCGGTATTCCTGCTGCCACCGTGTTAGAATACCGGGCCGGCCACTCGGCTGTTCTGTGCAGCAGAACCTGCTCCTTGGTCCTACCCGTTCCTCACCATCTTCTCTCCCTGGCGCCGGCATCTTTAGTGTGGGCACTCGGCAGTGACAGCTTTCGGCTTCACAGCTGGGTGCCCACAGCGCATGCGCAAGAAGCACTGCACTTTGTGAATGGTTCAGCAGTCTTCTGGGACCTGTCATGTGTCCCAGAAGACAGGGGGTTGGACAACTTCTGCAGAAGTGGGAGCGGGTACCTTTCAAATACGGCCCTTCCGCTCCCCAAAGGTCTGCTGTCTCTGGTCATCTCCTGTACTGTGTCCGCAGTCTCTGGTCATCTCCTGTACTGTGTCCGCAGTCTCTGGTCACCCCCTGTACTGTGTCCGCAGTCTCTGGTCACCCCCTGAACTGTGTCCGCAGTCTCTGGTCACCCCCTGTACTGTGTCCGCAGTCTCTGGTCACCCCCTGTACTGTGTCCGCAGTCTCTGGTCACCCCCTGTACTGTGTCCGCAGTCTCTCTGGTCACCCCCTGAACTGTGTCCGCAGTCTCTGGTCACCCCCTGTACTGTGTCCGCAGTCTCTGGTCACCCCCTGTACTGTGTCCGCAGTCTCTGGTCACCCCCTGTACTGTGTCCGCAGTCTCTGGTCATCCCCTGTACTGTGTCCGCAGTCTCTGGTCATCCCCTGTACTGTGTCCGCAGTCTCTGGTCATCCCCTGTACTGTGTCCGCAGTCTCTGGTCATCCCTGTACTGTGTCCGCAGTCTCTGGTCATCTCCTGTACTGTGTCTGCAGTCTCTGGTCATCCCTGTACTGTCCGCAGTCTCTGGTCATCCCCTGTACTGTGTCTGCAGTCTCTGGTCATCCCCTGTACTGTGTCCGCAGTCTCTGGTCATCCCCTGTACTGTGTCCGCAGTCTCTGGTCATCCCCTGTACTGTGTCCGCAGTCTCTGGTCATCCCCTGTACTGTGTCCGCAGTCTCTGGTCATCCCCTGTACTGTGTCCGCAGTCTCTGGTCATCCCCTGTACTGTGTCCGCAGTCTCTGGTCATCTCCTGTACTGTGTCCGCAGTCCATCGGCTCAGAATGTTTTTTTTCTTGATTTCCTCCTCTAAAACCTAGGTGCGTCTTATGGAGCAAAAAATACAGTAGGTTTGCACTTTTGCGGGTGTGGGACCTGTAGGGAAAGCACATGCGGACCATGAGGATTCACTGCGACTGCATTTTTAGAATGAAGCAAGAAACTTTTCTTTTCTATGGGATATGCAGACACAGCAGCCCATTTTAATGAATGGGCTGGTGTGCCTAAGCAAATGTGCAGAACCCTAGGGTAAATGAATGTACAAGTTCAGTAACACACATGTTCTGTAACAAATGCTGTGTTATTGGTGGATAACATGCATATGACAACCTATGAAAGCTACACTTACTTTAGAAGGACCGATCCTCCTATAAACGTTCCGACCATGGAAGCTCCTACTACGTACTTATTCATGATCTGCTAATAAACAGAGATGAAGTTCATAGAAGCAGCACACACAGCCCTCAGCCCTCAGCCCTCAGCCCTCAGCCCTCAGCACACACAGAGGTCACTGACAAGTCTCTGCACGACACAGGAAGAACTTTCACTACAGCTACGGGGGCCGGCTGGGGACAGTGCGAGGAGGAGAGGGAAGATCAGAGGCTTGTCTGTTCTGTTCTCTGCTCAGCAGCCTTCCTGTTTTATTTCCCTGTGTCAGACCTGTCCATGCAGTGACTCCACTGTAAACATCAGGGTATATGATCAGTACATTTTGGCTACTCTGTTTATTTTCAGAGACACATTTCTGCTGAAGCTGGATTGAGATGAGTCGGTCTTAATTCTTTTCCAGACAAATACATCCACATTGGCAGCATTTACAGAACCAGATGATGCCTTCATACACACTGTGGCTTTCACAAACATTGGCAGGAGAAAAGCAGCTTCACAAGGCTCCATTCACACCAATGCGTTTTTTAGTGCTTTTCGCAGACACACATTACAATCCATTTAACATGGTTTCCTATGGGTCATGTTCACATCTATGCTTTTTTTAGCTGCTGCATTTTTGGAAAGGGTCAGGGCCTTTTTTTTATGTAAAAGTAAAAAGCAGCATTTTTGCTACAACAGAGTTCAATGGAGAAGCTGCTGAAATGCATGGAAGTGCGTTTTTGCCGCCTGTAAAAAATTCCACTTCAACCACTTGCCCTCCAGAGGATTTACGCCCACTTCCTGACCAGGACATTTTTCGCAATATGGCTCTGCGTTACTGTAACTGATAATTGAGCAGTCATGCAACACAGTACATAAATGTATGTCCTTTTTTTTCCCAGCAAATAGAGTTTTCTTTCAGTGGTATTTGATCACCTGTGCGTTTTTATTTTTTGCACTATAAACTAAAAAAGACCAACAATTTTGAAAAAGAAAAAAAAACCCAATATTTTTGACTTTTTGAGATAAAACATATCCAATAAAAAAAATTTAAATAATCTAATTTCTTCATAAATGTAAGACAAAATGTATTCTGCTACATGTCTTTGCTAACAAAAAATCCCAATACGTGTAAATGAATTGGTTTACATGAAATTTATATAGTGTCTACAAATGGTGGTGTATATACTGTATACTGGAATTTTTATTTTTTTACACTAGTACTGGCAGTGATCAGCGAATTATAGCGGGACTGTGGCAGACATTCTGCCACTGGGTGGGAACTAACTGCCATTGACATCCCCAGTGACACTTATTCAGTGATTAGTACTAATAAAAAGTACTGACATTGCACTAATGACACTGGGCGGGAAGGGGTTAACATCTGGGGAGATCAAAGGGTTAACTGTGTGCTGTGTGTGTGTTTTACTAGGAGACATGCTGCTTTGTATTTCTCTGCTGTGCAGAGAAATACAAAGCAGCATGTCCTTGCTGACAAGAGAGAGAAGTGTGTTGTTTACACACAGGTCTCTCCCCTGTCAGCTTTACCCGACGATCGCGACTGCAGGCCAGGACCCGGTGATTGATATCCATAGCCGCCAATAGCGGCATGGGTAGGGGCATGATGCATGCACACCCCCTACCTGTAAATGCAAATCACGTACGTATACATGATTTTGCGCAACCCTGCTGCCCTGTAGCAGTTCTTCTGCTATAAGGCGGCGGGCAAGCGATTAACAAAAAAGAAAAGCCGAACAAAACGTGGTTATAATGAGTCAAAAAGGCAAAACAAACTGCAAAAAGCACCAGAGAAAGCATCAAACGCAAAATGCATATATATATATGAACCAAGCCCTAATGTGCCTAAGCTGCATTTTGGCAAATGTGTTTAGCATATCAAGCGCTTGGGTGGGCAGCATCATGGCTAAATTGTTAGCACTTCTGTCTCCCACACTCCAAAAACATACTGGTAGGTTAATTGGCACCTGTCTAAATTGGCCCTAGTATGTGTATGTATGAATGTGATGTTAGGGACCTTAGATTGATGTGCAGAGAAATACAAAGCCGCATGTCCTTGCACAGGAGAGAGACCTGTGTTGTTTACATACAGGTCTCTCCTCTGTCAGCTTTACCCGACGAGTGCCTGCCAGGAAACGGTGGCCAGAACCTGGTGACTGACATCCCTAGCCACCAATAGCGGCTAGGGATGTGAGTTAGGGACCTTAGATTGTATGCCCCTTGAGGGTTGGGGACTGACGTGAATGTAATATATATACCTACATACGCACACATGCGTAAATTGACGATGCTTTAGGCTCACCTAAAATAAATAAATTCTTCTGCCAAATATAAATTCCCTTTTGGCTACTGAAATGAAAAAAAAAAAAAAAACACAAACTCGCGATTAGTTTTTTTGCGTTTAGGCTCATCAGTTATTTCTTCTGCCTTGCTTCCCTCTTGAAACACAGCGATTGTTTTTTGCCTCTAAACTCCTGCCTGCCTATACTGTATGTGCATAGGCTAACATGGATGTCCATTTAGAAGCACAAAAAAACTGATGTTTTTGAGCTCAAGTGTGCATGAGGCCTCTTTGATCCTTTTTTTTCACAAATCTTTTGCTGGTGGAGCAATTTTTCCATTTTCTTGGAACCCCTGCTAAGGCTGGGATCGTACTCTTGCGCTGCTGTACCATGCATGTTGCATTAACATTCTTCACTGACCACATCATATTTACAAAAGCTATGGTTTGGAGTCAGGCAGGGCCCATTCATCAAGCATGATACCTGACAAAGGTGCCATGTGTTGCTCAGAAACGTAGCGTTTGTAAATCTGATGCGATCGCTGAATAAAGATTTGGACCTGTTTGGAGACTCCTGGTGTGCTGGTGACATATCTTCTACTTTGAATGTTGACTGTTCCCAGCCAGTAGTCACTGCAGTACCCAGTGATATCCACAGACATCTCTTAGGAACATGTGCGTTGGGAATGTTGTGTTTGGACTTACATAAACATGATACATGGTGGTTCCGTTTACTCTTAAAGTCATTTTTGTGGCTTAAAATGAAAAAAGATGTTATGCTTTCCTGCTCTGTGCAATGATAATGCACAGAGTGGTCCCTTGCCTACTCTAAGTTGCAGTATGACAGTGTTATAAACAACACGGCTCCAGATGAAATATACAAAGTGTAACGTATTGGTACTTTTGTTTCTTTCTGTTCATTCATCTGCAGATCAAAGGGATGAACATATGCTAGGTCCACACCTGTGGGGATGGTTGCTACTGCAAGACCTGCACCTCTTTCCGCAGCCACAACCACCTGCACAGTGAAACCTAATTCTAATGGCACACCACCCGCACTGGAAATCGCACCCAAACTGGGAACCACACTGCACTTGTGGTTCCTCTGTGAGCGGCGCTTCTAAAAATAGTGCATGGACTTTTTGCCTGCATTCCACGAGGCACTGCAGTCCATTCAAATTAATGGGCTGCCATGCTCACGCAAACTGCGGCCCACATGCAGCATAGATGTGAATCTAGGCTAAGATCTGCAGATGATGCCAGTTAAAGCAACCTGACAAGTTAAAAAAAAGTGAAGAAAAGCCAAAAAGATTCCTTGCACTAGCAAATAAAACATAAATAAGGACTGCATCCACTACACAATCTAGTTACTAGATGTAAAAAAAGATTACTCCAAAAAAGGTGGGGGTGCTGTCCTTTTAAAATTCAAAAGTGCCAGCTACATACAGTGACAGCCTAGCTACATACAGAGGCACAACATCCAATAAGTACCTACAGGCTTTCTGGAGGCATAAATTACACATCTCATTTCCTGACTATCTATCACATTTTTTAAGGCCCAAGAGCACAGGTGTCAAACACAAGGCCCGTGGGCTGAATCCGGCCCTCCAGGCCATTTCATGTGGCCCTTGTACCTCTCCTTCAGCTACGGTACCCCCCCCCCCTCCTCTCTGCCTCCACCTTGTCTCAGCAGTCGGCAGCAGAGAGGGAAGAACTCCTCTGCCAGATCCTGCACCTCTCAGTGCATCTCTGCCTCCCCTGGTCTCAGCATTTAGCAGACTCTGGTAACTGAGTCCACTCCTCCTCTGGTCCTCCTCCAGACCCTGCACTTTCTGCTGTCAGCTCCACCCCCAAAGGATGTGCAAGGTGATGGGGAGGGTGGGGATTCTTGACAACCGGCCCTTTGAGGGTAACGTGATGAAATGGAGTTTGACACCCCTTCCCTAGAGCACCAAGACAATGGAATTACCCAAAAAATAACCCCTTTTTGGAAGGCAAACACCCCAATGTATATTCTAAGAGGCATAATGA